ATGCATAAAATCAACCCCCACATGTTCCAATTGAATTTTGTCACTAAACTGCACAGATTTTTTTCTAGTAAATCCGTTCACCACCAAGTGTGTTTTGAGACCAGATCTACAAGTGTTTAAAATTTGGTAAATTCAGCTTATTATATTGTGAAGCCTAATTCTCGTTTTTGCCAATTCACTTTGACATAGATGACGAGGTGATGACTACTTGTCATCCTATAAGTAGTTGAGATCGTTAAGTCTGCTTATTCGTATTTGTTGTCATAGAATGCCAACAACGCCATCATCAATAATAACACCAACTTAGTAGGCTGTGGGAAGTTGCCCCAGAACAGCGCCAACGTAAAACGCATATCAGCGGTACCGATGGGCAAGTTTTCCCGCCCCACTCTGCCGCCTCTGCAGTCGGTGAACTTGGGCTGTGGAGATGGCTTTGTGCACACCCCTTTCACCCCTATAAACACAGAAGCCACACCCACACCTCGGACGGGGACCGTGACCTCCTCGCCCACCTCCCCTTTCTCCAGGGTCAGGCTAAAGCCAAACCTCACGTCCACCTCGATCGGGACCACCGCTACCACTGCTGCTACAGTGTCAAACACCATCCCAAAGTAAGTATCGGCTCGCTAGTAGACTACTCTTTACAATAATACTTTTAAAAGTCTGCTCTGAGAATGTTGCTCAACAGCTGGGTCGAACAACCGACCGCCCTTTCAGCCTATCATTGCTGTTTGCTTAAAGAGCAGTAATTGCTTGCTATGTTGATTTCAAGCGTGCCGGTTGCACCTTGACAGTGTCCATATTTCGGTAGTGCGATTAGAGCAAAAAGACACGTAAGTGTGACCTTGATGAATGGACAAATAGCATCCAACCTCATTTCAACCTTTCAGCATTGATTTAAACTGTGGTTGGAAATTTGGTGCAATGCTTAACGTGTGTCTTTACTATCCTTTCAACGGTCAAGATCTAAGATGGTTTATAAATTCTGAAATCCTTATTTAATCCGAGTTTTCTGCAAGACGTCCATTTTACATGCACGCCACCAATTCACACAGTTCGGTGTACCCTTAATCGGAGGTCTTTTTATGTAAGGACTCCACTAATCCGATGTCATTCCTTTGGTACAGCGAAGTATCACAGCCACGACCGTTGCAGGCCTCAGCAACGTGTCCGCTCATACCTGAGGTGTTTCGCGCCACCACAAACAGCAACACTAGCGCCCTCCAACGGAGTCCCAGCACATCACGCTTCGCTCAGACCCAGCTACCCTGTAAATTCGCCCCCAACAACAGCTTGCCACCAGAATCCCTCAACTTCCCACCCATCATTGATGCCCTCTGGGAAGAACCCGATGGCAGTGAAGGTGACGAGCTTACTTCTACTTTTTCTTATCAGTAGCTTTTATTTTCTAACTGATTGTCTTAGTGTACCAATATTAAAGTTTGTACATGCCTGTTGACAAGTCAATGTGTTTTGCCATTCCATGGTGAGTCATCTTTTCGACGATATTTTTGAGTGGTGGTGGAAAGATGCTATCCTATTTTTGCATTTCTACAACATTGTGCCTATACAAGGGATGTAGATTACACTTATCTTGCCACAAGTGAGACGTCTTCATGAATCAAACTAATCAAGATGTCATTATCACCAATTAGAGGGTGAAACACAGTGCTGTAAGACATTCTTGGCGTATACTGTTTTAGGCATGCATAGCTAATGCCCTTGGGTGTGGAAACCAGATCTTCTGCTAAATTTAGC